CCCCCCCGACAAGTGGCTAAATATAACATCTAGTTCTTATTTATGGAGTATCTGTAGCAATTTCATTTTTAGTGTTGAATGAGTTTTTTCTATAATTCTTTACTTGGAAATGTATTAATATTTTTTACTATTATATGAAAAGAAATTAACATCAAGGTATAATTTCATTATGACACTATGTTACATAAATACTTTAAGTTTATATTCCGTATTCAATTTTTATTCAGCTTTAGCTGACCTTATTTTTAAGAATTGTACATGCCACAAATTATATGTGTAAGAAATGTATTTGCTTGTGGATTATAAATCTAATCCACGATCAAACTTTTATCTACTAGTTCGTACTGAAAATTAATTTGAATTCTCGTAATAGTTACTAGGCTGCCTTTTAAATTTAAGAAAACAACACCACAGTGCAGATGCACATACACAAAGCTACCTGGAAGGTGACTTTGGTCCTTCCTAAAAAGTGTAAAAATTTGGAAAATAGGAAATGTGCCCGTTTCTGGGAATACGGATGGAATTCCTTATCAGCTCCACTTAAAGCTGCCTTCAAGGATTGTATTAAACTTAATTATGAAAGATTACAAACGAGATGATGTGTAATGGGCACCAGCTGCAGTTTGCACTGGAAAGCATAAATACAAAGAGAATTATTTATTTATTTATATGTATTTACTATTCAGATGGTGGTTCTAAAACTTACAGGGATAAAACTGACTTTATTACTTTTTTCCTACTGAGTTTAAAATACTTCTTTACTTAATAGTCATAGAGACAAACACCCCACTTAAAGACTACTTTTCACCCCTAAAGAACCCCAAAGAGCAAGCAATACAATGCAGTTCTTTCCCCTAATTAGCAGCTTATTGTTTTTATACCATAATTAGTGATATGAGATCAAATTCTCCCCCAAGCAACTCTATACATTTTTGTTTGTTTTTTTAAAACAAAAATCTGTCCATCTATCTTTCTGAATTCTCATTGAGATTCTTCATCAGACATTTTTTTTTTTTTTAAAAAAGCCAAAGCCGAAGGGCAAGGAGGGCAGGCGGACTTCACCTGGGGAGGGCGGCTGGGCGGTGTGCTTATCAGGGGGGCAGGGCCCATGGCCGAGGCGGCGTTCAGGCTCCTTTCCCTCTCGTCCTGGTAGATTCGGTCTCTCTCAGCTTCCGGCAGCTGCAAGAAATTCTGCATCGCCCGAAGGTTGACCAGCAGCGACTGGGATGCAGTCTTGGGGTCCTCTTCCTTTCGGAGAATTTCTGAAAGCAAGCCCTGCGGGAGCGAAAGGCACAGGGTGAGGGAGCTTGCTCTGCTCGGCCCTGCTGGGCCAGCGCGACCCTTCCCTTCCCTTCCTTTCCCTTCCTTCCTTTCTTTCCCTTCCTTCCCTTTCCCTTCCCCTTCCCCCCCTCCCCTCCCCTGTGTTCAGAAAAGGAACAGCCAGGAGCACTAACTCTGCAGGCCTGTTAGTTACAGCTGAAGTGGTGGAGTATTCTTAATTTTATTAAGCATCTGCTTTACATACAACATAAACCGAAACGGCCTCACTGGCCTCCTTCCTCCGAGGAGCTGAACTTGCCGAGAGAGGGAGGGGAGTGAAGGGTAAACGCAGCGCCCTAAGACGACCGCCTGGCTGCGGGTCCTCAGGCGGCCTGGACGGAGGCCGGGCCACCGCGGCCCAGGATGCGGGGGCGAAGCTATTTCAGGACCAGCCGAGCCTCCAAAGAAGCGAACTGCCCGCCACGGAGGGAAACAGACAGTCCCCGGGGGCGGCCCGGCGGGGGCTTCGCCTGCCCGGAGGCTGCGGGGCCCCGCTTCTCCCTCACCTCAGGCTCTCCCCCTCTAAGCATGTCCTCGGGAGGATTCAGAAAATGTTACAAAAGCCTCATCCAAGACAGGCTGTATCTTCACAGGCAGCATTTTAAGTTATTCCTTAATTCTAAAGTTATGAGAGTCACTGACAAATGATTCTTGCATTTATCACGTAAGGAAACTACACTGCCAGCCCCAATGGCTCTAACTACTACTTGCTATAGTATACCTCTTGGAAACAGGCTGACACTTTGAACTTCAGAAACCATAGGTTAAATTTGAAATACAAAAACCCCTTTCCACATTTCAAAAATCCATGATAGCACACCGAAAGAAAAGAATATTACCCAATTTTGTAATTATCAAACTTCTTGAGAATTAAAAGTATTTCTCTCTAGAAGTAGTAGTTTACAAAACATTAGTATACTCCTTTAAGGTGTCTCTCTCTCCAAAAAGTATTTTTTTTTTTTTTTGTAATAACGCTTTCAAAAATGGGTGGTTTTCCCCAATTTTAAGCGATTATATAAAATTGAAATATTAGAAAAATGCCTGGAATGCCAAGGTACATTTGCTTTCTACATTTAGGCAGAATATCAGTTTAACATAATATAGCTCAGAATAAAATGTTGTCAAGATCTCTGTACAGTTTGCAAATTTCACTTTCCAACCGCTCTGCAGAAAGGGTGAATGGGTACATTTGGGGAAGGGGAGGTAAAGTGTCCTGTCAAAATAATTCTCCTCCAAGAATATAGCACTTGGCTTTTTCATGGTTTCCTAGAAGTATAAGCCTAGTTTTGTTCCCCAGGGACGATGTACCATATTGCCTAAATGTAAATTAGGTGCAGACAACATAAATGCACTGACCACTTTAAAAATGGTTTACAGGCTGCTTTTTAAAAAAGAACCTCCAACAGGCTCAGGGGGCTTTGGAGTAAATTTTAATCTCTCACTTGGTCTATGCAACCAAAGTCTGGGAACTAGACCCACACTTGCAGTTTCGCCCTTAAGACACGTAACTGAAGACGGAAGGGAACGCGTCCTTTCATGCATAATACTAACAAGTAATATTGCAACCGAGTTTACACAAGAGCAAAACATCCAGTCCCTTAACTAAAATTCAGTCAAACAGGCAGTCAATCACCCAGCTCTTTAATTTGCACGAGGCCAACTAATTAGATCGACTGTGTAGATTGTCAACATTAAAACCGAAAAATACAGGTCTCAAAAAAATGTTTGAAAATAGGTGTAAAAAAATAACCCATGTTCTCCACACTTCCCTACCAAATGTTATGTATTAAAAGATGTGCTTGGCAAAGAAATAATATGTATTAACTATACAGAAATAGAGAGAAACATACAGTATAATAAATAAAATGTTATCAATTCCTTGAGTATAATATTCTAATATTCATTTTTGTTATCCCAGCACAATGCCTACTATGTAAGTGTTTGATAAATATTTACTAAGTGGAGAAATTATGTGTATTCAGGCCACAAAAGGAAAACATTGCAAATGGGTGACAGAAACTTAGGAACAAGATATGCTACCAATGGGTAAATTCTACTGATAATTATTCATTTACTCAAGGTGAGCCTTCAATGAAAAGTTATTGTGGTGTTTTGTAAGATGTTTATCTACACTAAGTGTTCAGTAATTTTAAAAATAGATTAAAAGGGAGCCTATAAATATTGAAGATTGGGAAATGTGAAATTAGACATTTATAAATCTCAAATAAAATAATATATCTCTATTAAAAATTTTTTCCGACAGCACAGAACTACAGTGAGAAAAGCAAACACCTGAAAAAATACATAAGAATAGTCTCTATCAAGTCTTGCTAACATAAGACCAAGGCATTGCTGTGTGGCTTAGGCAGAAGAACAGCAGATCAGTTGGGAGAGAATTGAGAAATTTCTCTACCCATAGTCTGATGTTGGCATGCCTTCCCATTTGAGCATATAAAGTGTTTCAGGGGCAAAAGATTTTATTTCCACTTAATTTTATGTCTAGAGCAAGTGCAGTTTTTCTGCTTGTAATATGTTGAAGGTCTAAAGCGATATTTCAAACCCTGGAACACTAAGAGCTCTAAAGCAGCCAGTGTAGACATCTCAGGTGTTTTAGAAACCTTCAGAGTTTTTTTTTTTCCTTTCTTTCTTTTTTTTTTTTTTTGGCCCAGGCTTTCAATGAGGGGAGTGCCCTCTGGTGGAAATGCTTGAAAATATTGTTAGAAAATGTTTTTATTAGAATGTGTTAATTACCAAAAAAAAAAAAAAATTATGTCGCTTGAGAATAATTCTGGATGCAAAATGACTATTAGAATCCGGATATGGCCATGAATGTTTGGTCCTGTTCAGGTTGTTGTTACTTGAATAGCTGCATTTATGGGTTCAGGATGTATGTGACCCTTGTTTCCCATTTTCCCACAGTGGAAAATACAGTTCAGACTTGCCAAGTTAGGTCAAGGTCACTTGTAGTAACCCCCCATCGAGGACAGTAAGAGGGATCTCTTACCAAAAATTCTTCTTCATGCAAAAAAGTAATATGTCATTTTATCTACCTTATCTGCTATCTCAGAGAGTATGCAGAAACGCCAGGACTAAAATATATTGTCAATACTGTGCATCATAGGTGCTCAATAAATTTGTTGAAGAAAATTAAACAAAATCATTAGCCATTCTTGTTTCTGAAAAGAACTTGAGAATTTCTATGTTATGTAGTAAGTTATCAGCACCTCATGAATATTAATTTTATTGGAAATGAGAAGCTGCTTTTCACTGGGACGTCATGTCTTCAAATAACTCGGTATGTTCTCTATATACGAAAGCATAAAATGGTTCTGCATTGTCATTACATGGTGGTTAAGAGAGAATTCTAATTTTTTCAATTAAAGAGCAAGCTTACTGATGAATTCCTAAACCTTTTTTACATTCCAAAAAGAGTTTACAAGTTATTACAAGTAAAATTCATTAGTAATTGTAAAAGAAAGAAAAAAACCTTCAATAAATATTATCAGTACTTCCAAATGCTAATTATGAATTCTTTAAAACAACAGATAAGCAATAGAGACTGCCAATCCGAACAAAAAGCCGGTCTGGCCTCCCGTTTGTCTCCTCTTTGAACATAATCACTGATTCAAATAGATTTTATCAGTTTCATGGAACTTCAAAGCCTCAGAAGGAAAATATGATTTGATAAAACCTCCCTACTAAACAGAAAATATGTGGAATATTCTTCAAGGCTACCTGCCTCCGTGGTTTGGTGAATTTTTAAACACATGTCCAGGTGAAAGACCATGTTCAAATTTCACCTACTATGCTGGACTTACGCCAAGTAAGTCAGAAGCAGACACATTTATCTCTGTCATTTGGGGAGGCTAAACGAGAGCTGTCACATTGGGGTAATAGCACCTTTTTACCTCTTACTCAAGAGTGATATGGAGAGTGGACTTTTCTTAAATTACACTGTGAAGAATTAGAGAAACACAGTAGCAATCTCTCTTATACTTAAGCAGGCAGATTTCTCTCCACCACATAATTTACAGAACTCAAATTCAATAAAACATTACATGATGGTCCATTACTGTTATCAGTTTTGAATAATCCATCTTCATTCTTTATTTTACTGGAAAATAAAGTGTGCCAAAGACAAGGGGGGGGGAGGGAAGAAAAAAGGAAAAAAGCCACAGGATGGGATCAGAGTTAAACTCTGGGTTTTATTTTTAAAAAGGCACTAAAGAATATATGTTCGTCTGTCACAACCTTTAAACGGCAATAATAGAGAGAAGTGAACTGAAAAGTATAAATCTAGAAGCTTTGGCAATTATTTTTAGCCATAGGTTTCCATTAAAAAGACATCAAGTAGGAATAACTGAATGAATGACATCTGCTAAAAGCTGGTGTCTTCGGTAGCAATTAAAGAACATATGCCCATTAATTCAAAAGGGGAAAAAGTACTTAAAACAAGTAATTATATAAATTCATCATAAATTTTCAGAAAAGGTAGACTTTAAAAAAAATAGTCATGTGTGAAAGTCTTAAGAGAGGAGTATGATTTAATTTAGGAGGCCCAATTACGGTGATGAGAAAATTCTCCAATTAAGAGTTAAAACATGAAATTCAGGATTTCAGAGTTCTGCAGAGCTGAATGACTCAAATTGTCTCGAGTCATAACAGCATTATCTTTTATACTAATGTTTTAACACACTGTGTACAGGGTACCCATGTCTTTACCTGATCATATCATATAACTCCGCATTTGTACGTACATATTTTACATTAATTTTTTAAACCTGGAGTTGGAAGTGCACATTGTGATGTGCGATTTAATTCTGCAGAGCTCCTCGTCTATACATATGCATCAGCATGTGTATTTTCGTACTCCGCACTCACACCACACACCCGCACTCTGCACCTGCTTTTATTGAAATGCATACGCTGAAATAAACACACTACATGCATTCGTATGAATGTATAATCATTAAAAGAAATGTAGCTGTGCGTGCGCTCGATGCATGTGTGTGATGGTTCTTAAGCGTGACACCAAAAATGCGTGCACGCCTGCTTGCACGTTCAAAACCTAGTTCCCAAAAAGTGAACACTTCAATGTACATAGAAAACTGCTCTGTTAAATCAGACAGCTTCAAATATGGGCCAGCATCCACTTGGGCAGAGAAGTTACCACTGTAAAGGTATAAAACCAAACCCCTCTACTATTCCGAGCTCCAAATAATATTTTGGTGATGTCTTTTTCTAAATTGGTGATTATTAATAAAGAGACATTGGTATCACACTGTACCAGGTTTTCCCTCTCTCACTCTCAGAAAAAGAAAGTCACTTTTTGATGTTAACCACAGAGGCGACTATCTTTTCAAAGTGATTAATATGGCATAAAAAGGGAATTCTACCTTTCTTACAGTAACAAATCCTATAGATATTTGTGGAATTTGTCAGTGTAAGAACCAAAGGCAGAACAAATGGTCAACTCTTCAGAGTAACGGCTGGGACATCACAGCCCCAGAGAAGAGAAGTACCCCAAGGGGTGGTGACTTCACCCTTGTCTCCCTCAGCTGGACTCTTGTCATTCCTTCACCATATAAAGTACACTTTTGCCAGCGCTTTAAGAAACAATTTGCTCAATTTTTAAAATGCTTATCAGTAAATCTGTACGGCATTTGTGTCTATGTCAATGTTCTCTTTGTCTGTGGGGTTTTAATTCAGTTCAACAACTCTTATCTATTTTTTGCCCAGTACTGAGAACTACTAGCAATGACTATTTACATTAAAAAAAAAAAAAAAAA